CACTTTCTGATCGAACGAGGTACTTTAGTCAATAATCGAAGCATTTTTACTGCCCCAAAACGTGATGATAGACACAAAAAAAAAACACATCATGGTAAAATCAATACATTCATCGCTCCGCTCAGAATCTAAAATGTACGTTACTATGACCAAATAATTCACACTGTTTGAACATCAAAGGTAAGTAAACAATCATTTTTGTTATAGATACAGGGTTTAACAAGTTTATTTTACTAGTGCCATAACTTTTTTTCTATTCTATTTTTAGATTCTGAACGAAGTGATGAATGTATTGATTTTACAGTGATGTGTATTTTTTTATTTTTTTTTTATGTTTGTTTTTGTGTCTGTGTACAGCATAACTAGTCGAAATAATGCTTCAATTTTAAACTTTGGGGGTGGTTTCCGATGTAAAATTTAAGATCCTTGGTGCATTATAGAGGTCAAAAGTAAACATTTTCCAACAGTTCTCAAATAAATCGAGAAAAATACAAAAAAAAAATGACAGAAAAACGGGAATTTTTACGCAAAACCAGTTATCGACCGAATCGATATTTTTATATGGTTTCTAAGATTTGAAAATTTAATACAAAGCTACTAACATATTTTTACAATAGCAGTTGCAAAATAAAAGAAATACATAGTCACAATTTTTTTTTACAAGCATTTAAATTTTAATTTTGACAACATACTTAAAAATCACGAAAATTMKYAAATTATTTTAAGCTAGAAATTCATAAAAAATTTTCTTTTTATATCTAAGATTTGAAAATTTTTAATAATCTATAATATACCCTAGACAGATAAACAATCTCCGTTCAATATCGTTTTTCGTATACAATGATACCTATCATTGCATTCAAATTTTACCTACCCTAGTCAGAGGTCCACCCCMCCCCCTAATGTACAGCAGAGCGATACCCACTTACCCGTTTTTTTTTTCATAATGATTTCTAAATCTTTGTGCTGTAATTTGTATAATATGTTAGATTTTATTTTATTTTATTTTTTAGTACTAAAATTAAATTATTTAAATTTTTTTTTAAATTTTTGTCTTATAATCCAAGATACGTATTTTATAAACAAATATTTAAAAACAATTTTGGTGTCTAAAACTTTCAATTTGGTTACATCATTGATTTTTATACAACTTTCAAAGTTTGTTAAAATTCAAATGTATTTCTTGCTGATCAGTGGTTTGTTATCATTAAACGTTAGGTAATCAATAATAAATACATATATTTTATGATTATTTAACATGACCACGTAATGCATATACCACCACCATTAGTCAAATAGACTTGTTACACCCTGTTTATAGGTATAGCTTAGTTTTTATTTATTTAATACAATTATTAGGTATACCTCTTTTCATATTTAGATGATAAATATGAATTGAAAATTATTTAAAAAAAAAAAATTTTCATAAATTGTTAATCATAGGTATTGATTTTCTATTTATGTGAATTTGAATATAATTTATACAAACTTCAGAACCGGTATTAAATTGTATTTTTAAAAGGATGGGACACTGAATGATTAGTGACTTATATGCAACAAAAACTAACTAAATACCTATGCACTAAAAGATACTTAAATGTGTGAAGTAAAAGTCCAATATGTACAAAAAAAAAAATCATTTTTCCATAATTCATATCTAAGATTATAAATATTTAAAAATAAATACCAACGGTTAGAGAGATCTGAATTTTTCATCTTAATACTTTTTATAATATGTCAATAAAAAAATGCTATTAAATATATCGAAATTTCGAACATATTCAGAAAATCAGTGTACCTACTTATATCTATATAAACCTATATAAATTTATTTCAATATTAACAAAAAATATGAAATTTAAAAAAAAATGTAAATAATACGTTTTTTTTTGTGCTGACAAAACATTATTTTTGATTTTCTTTGAAAATGTCAAGAAAACACTAAATTTCACGTTAAAAGATTAAAAATGTATGCAGTTATGATCATAATACGAGTTCTTAAAACACTATAATGGTCGAAAAATACATAATATAATATACCTGTATACCTATCTTGTGTGTATATAATATATATTATATTAGATAACAATCTCTATAGGTATCATGAAACAAATATTGTGCTTACTAAGCATATTAAATCAACTAAAATTGACTTTAAAATTCTTACATTCAATGTATTATCGTGATTATTGTATATGTTTGCTGTACATATTTCTTTGGATAGGTATAACTTTATAGGTTCTATTCAATATCCACAGGCTAAAATTATGTTTAAAACATCGAACATATTTTTTCTACTTTTATGCCCCACATGTAATGATTTTATATTTTCAACCAAATGGTGTTTTAGGAGTTCTCATAAAACGAGACAACTTACTTTTATCGTTTGTCATTGTTGTGGCAGTGCAACAAACAATGACCATTAATCATTGCCTATTTTGATAGCATACCATCTACGCATTGTTTGTCTTTAAACTGTAGCGACGTGTCGGGTAATAACTTGTAAACAGATCTGTTTCATTTACGCTCATTGTATAGGTGTACGGGTATATCATCGACATTCGTCAGTTTATACTATCCTTGTCTAAAGATCAGTCAAGACTTGACCAATTGGTGCAAACTGCAAAAATCGTTTAGAGCACTTGCTTTTTTCCCACTTATTCCGTATAACAGTTTCGTATATGTCACTCGGTGTCAACGAGAAAATGCTKAATTTACAGCTAACATCATTCATAAGTGTTCGTCGGGTAATCTAACAAAGTAGTCACTGTCTAATCAACTGCGCTCATGTTTGTGAGACGATACCATTAGTAGAGATATAATAATTTATAAGATTTTAACGGCACTCGAACCATTATGATGGGCATAATGCATTTCCGGTGTATCCTTGTTTTGATCTTCTTATACTCTTTGAATAATACTATTTTGATATTATTATCCTACATGGCTACAGGGTTGATGATTTATATAAATACATTCATGGAAGAATACCCTGGTATTCTAAAATATTAACCAAACAACTATAATGTTGTATATTTTTTAACCATTATAATCATTTACTACGATCTAACCAAATGGATGATTTCTTAATCTTAATTATTCTGTTATTTTTTTTGAATATTTTTATGTTAGATTACTTAACGAATGATATTAATCATCATGATTTCTCAATGATATCGCATTCATATCGACTATCGATTGCTATATTTGTGTTCAGTTTTCGGTCTTCGAGGTTGTTTACAATACCATTAAGTCCAAACATCGTTATTGGTATAGGAAAATACAATTCCATCGTTGGAAAAATCAGTAACTTTTTGGCTCTGTAGTTAAGAATAACATTAAGCACCTATATTATAAATATTATAATTTTATGTTTTTAAATTTAAACTTATGCAGTTTGATAATTGACACTATGTTTAAACGAATTATTATTGACTTACCTTCAGACCCACCAACAAGAGTATAATTGGGGTTTTGTATGTATATAACATCATTATTTATTTTAACAACGGGAAACGCCATAAAGTTTATGTTACAAACAATTAAGGCTAGCACATACTACGAGTGTGCTAATAACTTACTATATGTACGTTATTTATGAGTATAGATACAACCAATAATTAATGTTATGTTGCCTAATTAAATTCAATATTATGTTCAAATTATTATTTCTAAGTAACAAGTGATAAATACAGACTACTACAATACAATGATTAGGAAATAGAAATATTATATCGTTATAATTTTCGAAAAAAATATTCCAAATACATGAACCAACAAGTAAGCAACTAAAAATTAACGATTATTGTAACAACCGAAGCAAACCATGGTGTATAAAATATTAACAATACAAATATCAAATAATATATTTTACAAAGTAATTTAATAGGTAATGCAATTTAATGCTTTTTAATGTAATTACTCAACTCAGGTATTTTAACGTTTTATTCTTCTAGAATTGATACGCCATAGACTATAAATATCGCAAAAACATAATGGTATAGAATATCAGTTTATAAATTTATGATTAATCACAATTTAAAAATTTACAAAATTTAAGTGCCTAAATGATATTCAAATTAAAACATTTTCTATGAATAGAGTGCAATAATTATAAAATTACTAAGCTATTTCAAAAATATTAAAATGTATTGGACTCACATCACTAATGTATTATTACTATTTAAAAAACATAACACGTACATGTCTTGTATTTTAGACGAAACCATTAACATAAATTAATTGAAATCTTTAAATATTTTGTTAACTATAATATTATGAGAATATCAAATTTAGTAACTAATTTAAGTGGATATTAAAGCATAAAACAGCTATAGCGATTAAACTACTACATCAACATAAATTATTTTTATGATATTCTTAGTTGCTTTAGTTTAAAAATCTATTGTTTGCGACTGGCAGGTTCTGATTGGTCCCTATATGATGCTACAGTATTCATCGCTCTGGGCATTTCTATATTTTACTCAAAGTCAAAGGGACTATAATAGTTTATTTTTATTTCATCATGCGATTAAATTAGAATATTGTAAATTGAGATCGACTATTCAAGTTTATACAAAGCAGTTTTGGATCACTCCACATCCACATCCTCATCTTATTCATAGGTAGTTTAAAGGTCATTGTTGAGTCAATACATCGTTATGTTTTCGATAACTTCATAAGAACACATTTTACCTGTTCACTTCACCTTATACGAACTTTCAAAGGCATCTTAAAGTTCCAAAGCAATTACAATTCATTTTTTTGATATTATTGATCAACTTTTAGATCATCCCATATAGACTTCATCTGATAATAACTTTATTGGGATCCTCAAGTACTATAATAATATGATAATGATTCCGCGTCGATATTTGTTAACTTCATGTTACTACATGTATTCTACTTAAATAATTATAATTCCCCGTTAAAAACTAAAACAATTATTTAGTTTCATTTTTTACACTAGCTACTTAATACTTAAGGTTAGGTTAGTTTTAATCAACCAACCCAGACTATGTTGAAAGGTTTAAAATATTGAAAGATATTCTTTTCAGTCTATCGAACTTTCATAAACTTTTATGGTTTAATAGGCTTAATGTTTTATTGTACAAATGATCAAAAATAACCCAATTAAAACAAAATTTTCAAATTTCGAAGATGATTAAAATTACCACTATTGATGGCGAAATTTTATTACATATTATACATAGTATATTGATGAAACGTAAAATAATTATGCTAAATCTAAATGCTATTATCTAAATCTTATTAGGGTTAACTATATTTTCCCTACTTCGATCATCATTGTAGTGTCGAGCTGCTTTGATTCAAAAATCAGTGTTTTGTTGTTTAAATTTAACATACTATTTCGTCGAGACCAGAAAAATACCAATGGGGGTAAGTCAAATAGACTTTAAATGATTAAAAAACAATATGTTGGGTACTAATATAAATTCAATATGCGTGAATAGAACTGCATCTAAACTGTAGTTAACTACAAATGTCCGTTTGACGCATCGTCAGTTATCTCATCAGTAACGGTGTACCTATACTTACCTAAAACCGAATTTATTGCTTTTGTTACAGAAAACCATGGCTATCAGACACCCAACATCAAAGGTGATAAAGGTGATCCCGGTCAAAAGGTGAGTTTCACTGTTCCCATTAATTAAATTCTTTTAATGTTATTATTACGATTCAACCTAACCTACCGGACCCGTAAACACTGCGATGGTTGTGTGTTCACACACAGATATAATAAGCCATTAGAGATATACGCTTAACAACCAGCTAGTTATTGACTTCGAGGTTTGTTGCCGAATAGTAATAATGAAAATAATAATAATTGGCTGATAAATATGGATTGTGCACCACGACCACAATCTAAATTTGTTCGAAATTTATAGGGAGAGTCGATCAGAGGACCGCCCGGTCCACCCGGACCTCCAGGCTCGCCGTTTTCCGGAGACTTTGCCACCGACGAAGAAGTGAGTGTGTAAATTATGATTATTGATTTTCTACAAAATGGTCTCATTTTGTTTTTATGTAGGTATTTATTACTATTTTAATCTTATTAAAAACCAAGTATGATTATAGTATTTTCTATATTATAGGTATTTTTCCCAATAACAATTATTGCTATATTGTCTCAGCAAAATCTGCTCAGTACGTCGTTACTGCTGCTGTCATTGTTGTTGTTGATGTTGTTGTTGTTATTATTTTTGTTATTGTAATCAGAAAATGCCAATCAAATATATATATATATATAAACTTAGATACAGTAACATTTTGCTAATGCAACGCAACCGGTAGCTCGTTACAGTTTAAACTTTTGAAGTAATCACACAACATTCTAAATTGATTCTGTCTATTACAATACATGCAAAATGTAAACAAAGAATATAAAGTAATTAAACGCACTATGCGATGAAAAAACGCCATTAAGTATTAGTTGGTATTAAAATAATATGTGATAAAATATACATTATTTAAAATAATTTGACCATGTATATATACAAATAAAGCACACAAATACAAGTGAATGTGGTAGGTACCTACGCACAATTAATATTATCAATTTAAATAAAAATTATTACTATCTACTAATAATGGGAAAATATGAAAATATTAACAATTGACTAGAATATACCTCATTTAAGAAGTTGACAAGTAAAATTCAAAAAGTTTTTAGCTACATAAATAACATGAAATGAAAGTTTAAGAAACTGCTGCTTTATAATCAATGCTTATAGCATACTATGTAAATAATTTTATAAAATAATGTTCAAACTCATCCTACAATCCACAGGTATATAAATTATGACAGACGTTGTATAATAGATACGTTAATTTTCAATTGAAGGAACGATCTATAGTAGACTCAATATTACACACGTATTATTGACTATAGTTTATAATAAATTGTAAATCTTAAGATAATTCTATCGAAAATAATTAATTATTAAATGTATTGAATTTAATTCAAATTTAATTAAATCAATCAAATTTGAAATATTGAAAAAATAAATCTCATCCTATATCTCAAAATTTTTTGTAGGTATAGATACATTTAATATAATAAATATTTGCTTTTCGTATAATTGACAATATTTAAGTTGAAATAATTTTAATATACTTAAAAATCATACAATGACTCATATACATTTTTAAAAATGTATATGTATTTAACATATTTATCAAATTAAATATTTATAAATAGAACTTTTCATAATATTATGTATATTATATTGTATCCACGTATATGTGAATAAATAATAATATTACTTTAACTTTTTTTTTTTTTTTAAATATAAATAACATAAGTACCATATATTACATTTAAGTACCACGTATAAACTTGAGAAACTAAAAATAACATTTTTTTAAATAATTAAATAAATAAATAAAAAATAAATTCATTGTATAATAAACTAAATCTATAACATTGTTAGCATAATTTACATCTTAATACATAACATATTGTAATATATATATATATATATATATATATATTATATATCGCCCAATGGTCTTGATGCCGAGGGTTTATCTTTATAATAATAAAAAAAAATTTCATTGTAAAATTATTAGTTTGTTCGCAATTAAAACTTATTTAGAGATTATTTAATTAAATGCGAATACTTGTAATTCATATTTTTAAATGTTACTCCAGGTAAAGCTACAATGATATATTAATACAATTAAATTAATATAATATTTTTATTCATTTTAGATAACGTGAACAAATTAGATTCTTATATATTAGGTAGGTACCTTAAGTAAATCAGTCAAGTTATTTACACAAATCTAGCATATTCATTTTATTTAAAAATCTAACTAATAAAAATATGTCTTAGAAAAATATTAAAAACACATAATGATAAAATAAAAAATTAACACTTATGTTTCAGAAATAATTCAATTAGATTAAAAACCATTGTAACGAGCTGTGACTTACATGTGCTACACATACATGTAAATCTTTTAGAAATATACCATCTATGGTCGCCCTAGTGCTCTAAAGTTACGTAATAAATAATACACCGTAATAGTACCTCGTATAATATTAACTTTAGCACTTAATTTCGCCGCAAGACTAACCAGAAACAACTCTGAAAAAATAATACCAAACCACATCAATCAGATTACCACAAAATACAAATTATATTTTTCAAATATAATAAAATACTCAATTATATGTACAAACACCACCATGGTCCACCAAAATCAACTTAAACACAGAACTTGCAGTAAACAAAAAAAAAGAAACCATCCCAGAAATCTTCATAAGTCAATTCTACGACCTCAAAAATAAATATTTAGGACAAGACATATATACCGACGCATCCAAAAACGAACAAGGAGTCGGAATATCAATCATAATCGACAAAGAAATAATAACATATAAACTGCAAAAGAAATGCTCAATCTATACCACCGAAGCTATCGCCATAATATCAGCTCTTTATTGAAAACTATCCTCAACAAAACTTCAATATATTCACAGACTCCCTAAGCTCCATCAATAGCATCCAAAATATATTCCAAACCAACGACATTGCCGCCAACATTATAAATCAAATCGATAATCTAAAAAACCAAAACAAGAACGTCCAAATAATTTGGACACCAGGACATTGCAAAATTCACGGAAATGAATTAGCCGATCATCACGCAAAAGAAGCCATAGTATCCGAAACTCCCAAACAAAAAAGTAACACAATATTAGACACATCAAAATAATCACTCAAAATATATGGCAAAATCACTGGTCAAACCAAAACAACAAATTACGTGAAATAAAACATAACATAAATCCCTGGCCGCAATACAAAATTTCAAGAAAAACCGAAATAATAATAAACCGACTCAGAATCGAACACACACACCTCACACATGGACACCTCATGAAGAACCAACTACCGTCAGAATGCACCACATGCGGAGTAACCCTCTCAGTAAAACACTTGATGACAGAATGCCGATCAAATGAAGAAGAAAGAGAAAAACTAAATATACCAACCAACTTATACGAATCAATCGGACCCGACTGTCAACCCGAAAAAATCATGTCATTCCTCAGGACAACCAAAATAGATATATACATTTAATTAGAATAAATATAGTCAACAGTCCTTCCCCTTATTATTGTAATTAAATTGTCACCTAAAACATGTATATTTTAAGTAATAGTATAATGTAAATTATGTATAAAGCTAATGGCCCATGTCGCCGAAGCTATAAATATCAATAAAAAAAAATATATATATTAACTTTATTAAAGGCGACACATATATTGAAAATAATACAAAATATTAATATACCAAGTTCGCACGATATACAAATAAGAATTCACGGTAGATATAAGTATAAAATAATAAACTGAACACTCGTATAATTTGCGTTAACCACACGAMAGTTGACGCGGGACGACTAACTTAAAAACTAATTAATACGAAAATATAAATATTATAGTTAATACCGTCTTTACGATAATCGCGACGAGCGACGGTCGCGGTCCGCGACAATCTTGTTCTTATTAATATTTATATATAATATAAACATTGAACATTATGCAACGAATACGTTAATAACGTTACCTAACCAAAACTTAATAATTAGCATGAAATACAAAATAAATGATAATAATATTTATATTAATGACAATACTTCCCCACACATCTAATAGATTAGTATTTAACTAACAGCTAAAATTTTAATTTCTGTATAATAAACCACAAATTACAAACTACAACAGAGTGTCACTGTATCAGCAGAAATATCAAAAATATTATTATATCATATATCTAATATCCTAAAACAACTCAATTTTAATTAAAGTACAACTTGTCAGAATTGGTGAAGTTTTTAAAACTAGTGAATATTTACAACGACATTTCAAATTAAATAATTAATTATGTATTTTTAAAATTGAATATAACATTATTGTATTTGTTATTTACGTATTCCTATAAAAATAAAAAGATAGCTAATTAATAATATATATTTTACTTATGTCTTAAAATCTTTAACATGAATTAAAAATACTGGTATCGAAAAATTGTTAAGAAAACGGTTTTTCGTCAAGCTATATAATAATATATTGAAAGTTATAAACTATTAATTTTCAATGTCTTAGGTATATATCAAATTATGTAATTAAAATACTATGATGTCGATTGTTTTCTTTTAATGTTTTATCGTGTCTATACTCATTTCCCTGTAAGTGTAATTCTTTTTTCAAATAAGATTAAACAAATGATTGAAATACTATTTGGTTTTAATTATCTACTTAGTAAACAAAGTTTTTCATAAATATGTAGGCATTAGTTAAGGGTACTAAGGTCATAKCACTTAGTTCTTGATAAAATCTCAAGAGTTTTTTTAGTTCATTTTTAATTTACTCAAATTAAGTTTATTTATAACAAAGATATATTCCTTGAATTTTAATCTGATACTGTGAGCTTATGAAAGATAATTATTTGTCAACTACTATCTACAACCATTCTTCAAAACAGAGAACTACAATATTCCATTAATATATATTTATTTAAATAAAATTAGACAATGTTTTAAATTCGTTTTCAGAATATTTTTTGATAACTTTTTAATGATCACTCGGCATTTAAAACTCATAATATCATATTGGTTACATAATGTCACAATAAACCTCCCCCTCACAAATGTAAAAACTCATCATTACTTTTATATTTAAGAGAAAAAAAAATGAATAAAACATCAAATCTACAAACATCTTAGAAATAATATGTTCAATGAATGTTGTACAACAACTTCTCTTTTATTTAGTTTTAATTTTCCATCATATCTCTTATTTGATCCAAAAATATGTACCTACCTTATTTAAAAAATTACACAAACAATATTATAAAAAGTACCTATGGGCGTTTCAGCAAGTTTTTACCAGAACGGTCTTGTAACTGTTATCTTGACTCTTAAGAAATAATACGTTACGAAATATTTTCAATTGGAATCTAATGTATTATACTATTCAATATTTTAAAGTGTTCTATTAGCTATAAATTATTATTAACCATTTAACTGTTTGTTTTGTTTATGGTTAGTTTTAAATATTTCCAAGTAAAAGCAATTTTTCATTATTAATTGATTCATAATATTTTAAAAGAAATAAGCATGAATTCATTAACTTAACTATTTATGGATATTATTTGAATTGTATAAAATCAGGTTATTTTTTTAAATGAACTGATTTACGAAGATTTTTTGCTTTAATCACTTTACAACAAACATAATTCTGTATACGACATAATACCTATCCTTAGATTTTCATGGCTCATATTTATAACATTGGATCTGACTGTAGCGTGATATCAACAAAATTCGAATCATAACATTGACCACAGCTCACGACCTTGTATCTTCCTCATCGGCTTCTTATTCAAATTGGAAAAGTTTCGACAAGTGTTTCTCATTCTATACATCTGTGTGCGCGTTTTCATGCATGTGTGCGTGCGCGCGCGCGCATGTGTGTGTTCGTGTGTGTGCATAGACAAATATGCATAATATATATTTGAGGCATTATTATCAAAGTTGACCAAAGTCGTGCCAACGCAGCCACAAAATGTTATGTACTAATCCGCTTTGGAATCACGTGCTGCGCAAATGTCTAATATTGTGCACTGCTACTCGTGGTTTCTGAAAGGGTCGGATAATAATCAACAACAATGATAATAATAATAATAATAATATTAATAACGATTCGTGCATAATATAATTTAAAATATGTATCCTGCGCTTTGTTATATAGCATCGATTGTATTTAATCAATGGTTATATTAGATAATAATGATATCATCGATGTTGTTTTAGCTCGTCAAATCTGGAGTATCTGGACCGAGAGGTCCGCCGGGCATATGTAGTTGTAACCTCACCACGTTATTTGCACCAGGAAACATACCGGAATTACTACAAGGACCGCCGGGCAATCCTGGCATCGATGGCAAAATGGGATTGACTGGACTCCCGGTTAGTATATACACGTTTTCTGGTACTAATTTCAGTCTATGTGTTATTTCATCCTGTGGATAATTTGCAAAATCAAAACTTTAAGTCTTTTAATTTATAGTTGAGTCACCGCACTCTTTGTTAATTTAATAAAATACAATAGTTGAGAAATAAAATTGAATTGAATTTTAAATATTGCTCACCTACATGCTACACTCCAATAATTCCAGAAGTTATCTAGTCGAATCCACAGTCATATTATAGTAATATAGTTGATACTGTCGATACTAATAATACTAACATAGTTTCATGTTTAAATTAATAAACACAAACAATTATTAATACATGTATGAACATCTCTGATTGAATTTAACGCACAATCAAAATCTACATATGACTATAAATATATAACTTTAACCAAACTCCCTAAACGTAAACCTTAAGTTTACTATTCACCGACATTTGCAATCTTCTCGATATCACATATATCGGATGACTATAATGTCAACCACAATGACCGAAAACTATTTAATTTTTTTTATGCACTAGATTAATTAAAACTAGTTGAAAAAGAATGGTCTAGCGATTGTTTAAATTATCGAACTCGTATTTTTCAAGTTCGACCATTTTAATAAAAGTAATAATTTTATATGATATTATAGTAAAAATAAAATATAATTTATAAATATTATATATATATAATAATAACTAATAAGTGAGAGTAAAATATATATTATTATAATAGGTATGTATGTTCTAAAAATTACAAATTTCATTTATTTTTATACTTCATGTCGAAAAATAGCTTTTTTGACATTTTATATAGGTATATACTATAATTCTGTAACTTACTTACTTTTTAAGCAAATGATTATGTATTGTGTATAGTTTTGCACAAAGAATGCGTGTATTCGAAATGCTTTTAGTTGATATAAAAGAAATCCGTACTTATCATATTTATCAACTAAAGTCGTTTGAAATATTTTCATCGTATTGTCTTTCTTGGTTTCACCTAAAAAGTTGTATACATTTATGATTTAACTATATTAGAAACAAATATTMTTTAAAAGCTTTAAAAGCTTTTAGTAAAATATAATTATAAAATGTGAATTTACTTATTATAGTTTATATCAATACTTACTAACTTAAATAAATAAAATCAAAATTTGTATGCAGTTTTTAATTGTTATTGAATTGTTCATAAAAAGAATCTGAAACAAACGTTTCATAACAAATATCTTCGTCTCAAATACTTAATAAATTCATGAAAAACTATTTACAAATTAATTAAAATGTACAAATACTTACCAACCTATTATTTAATTTTAAGCGTTCTCTAAATAAATATAGGTTAACTAAAGTTAAGTCCTTAAAAGATTTTGCAGAAAAAAAATGTATTTTTCGTAGAATTTCTGACTCTCAAAATTCGGAATTCGGAAAAAGTATTTTTTAAAACCTATAGAAGAAAGTAGATGATTATTTAATATAATAATTATACCCAATTATCATATTAAATCAAATAATTATCAATAATTGTATAGGTAAGTTTTTATCATGGTCTTGTATTTTTTTTTTTTACTTAACACAACGTTAGGGTTATTTTATACCATGAACAATATTTCGGTATTTCAAAAATTATAATATTAAGTAGATATGTTTCTATAGATTAGCTCTGAGCTAATTGGAATTTAATATAACTCGGTATGTTTTATTGGTACAATATTTAATCGTCGACATTATATAATATTTTAGGTATTAATAAAAAAATCAGTTTCGTAAATCGCCATAACAGCGCTGTATTATAAAAAATGTACGTACAAGGGTTGGAAACTTAGCACTATTGGGATTAAAGACAATAAAGTGATCGCTTGGGAAATCGTGAATGGTACTCTAATGCAAAATAATAATGCAATTTTGGTTGTGGTATTATTGCAATAGTATATAGTCGTTTGTCGGGAAAAATATATTAGAATGACCCGTGTAAATCCCCTAAATTTATAAGGATAAGTCTAAAAGTATAGGTAAATACCAAAAAGGTAATTTTAAATGCATACAATATAATAATATGGTCTTAAAAACAATTTTACCAATAACTATAGGTGATCTACATAATAGTTACAAAATATAACGCGTTTAAATTTAAAAAAAAGGATGGGTAATTCTTGAACAAAATACATACCAAAAAATAATTTGTAAATCTGTTTAAAAAGTAAATGTTTAAAAAAATTATATAATTTTTTTAGTTTGATACATTGCTCATTTTTAAATCAAATATTAAAAACATTTAATAACATAACAATAAAATAATAATAGTAACAATATGTTTCAAACTAATTTTTATAATTTAATAATTATATCATTAGTTAGTGGTCCACTAAATCGTAGTGTATATTAATCTAATGTATCATATTTGCTACTTTAATTAAAAAATATCCAATTCTTTTATGAACTTATATAAGTTTAAATATATCTAGTAAAAAAACAATAGTTGTATTAACATTCACTTTTTAAACAGGTTTTAAATATTTAAATATTTTTCTATTTTATTAGGATATTTTGTACTACACATTGGTTATTTTATTTCTGGACATTTTGTCCATCAGATATTTTTACTTTGATATATTATAGTATAGAATATTTTGTCTCAATACCAGAGTGGAGACAAAACAGTTTTTTTTACGTATATTATATGCTTATTTACTGTGCCACTGTGGCACATTAGATTTAAACAGAAGCATATAACATTTTATTATGCGCTTCCCCCGCATCCGTAATTAAAATCCGAAATCCACCACTAGATATTTCTTGCCCAAAACCAATAAACGTTCCCAAATCCTGTAATTATATCAATCAAATTATAGTAAGCTCTGTTCTGTTAAACTAAAAAACCCATCTTTAGTAGTTTTGTTTTAATTTATGAAACATTACCAAATAGAGAATATGTAAATAGATCAACTTTTCTATAATAATAAAGTAAATAAGTATATTATCATCATGTTTGATTAATGATGATATAATAATATGCAGTAACAACAAATTTCAAATAAATAGTAAATGCACTGGTCGATACAACAGATTAAACTCAGGACAATAAAAAACACAATCTTAAACTAGCAAGACCTGAATCTCAGCAGGAGAGAAAAAATTATAATCAATCGTCTCTGAATAGGCTAAACAGGCTGACTCACAAGTTCCTTATGGCCAAAGAGGAGCCTCAATGTACAGTCTTTGGGGTTACACTAACAGTAAAACATATAATAACAGAGTGCTACCAATATTCCGACGAACTCAGAAAATTCAACATTCCAACCAACATGAATGAAGCATTAGGTTAGGATATGTTTGCTTTCCTTAGAAAAACCGACCTATACAATACAATTTACCTTCTGCTAACGATAATCATAACATTAATGTTAGTAGAAATCACACAAAATTAACACCATATTAATTGTATAATTTTAGTTCTAGAAATCATTCGTTATGACGTGTTAAACAAAAAACTTATAACCTTTGCTGTTAATGTTTTTAAGTGCCTACAATAAATAATAATAATAATAATATGTAATACATAATTAATATGAAATAACCATTGATTTTTTTTCAGGGTGCCGTAGGATTGCCAGGAGAACGAGGATTAGAAGGCATTAAAGGTGAAACAAAATCTTTTTTAATTATTATTATAGACAATAATCACTTGAATAGAACTTAGAACTAGACCAATTGATTTTGTAAAAAAAAATTAAATTAATGTGTGGTATAATTACTAAAACTGTTAAAGTTTACTGTATGCACTATGCACATTTATAATACTAGTCATAGCCGATGGCCGTATATCATTTGCGCATCGTCTGCTTACCAGTACCAAATTATCCTACATCAATATTTTAAACAATAGAAAGGTATAACAAATTGTGTTAGGTACATGTTGTATAATATTATATAGATGATAAATAATTTATATACATAAACATTTTTTTGTTCAAATTTTGACGAAATTCATCAAAAACTCGAAAATTTAAGTTACAAAATTACATTTTTACTTAGTATAATATTGTATATCGCCTTATACATATGTAATATTGGAAAATTTAATATTACGTGAGTAAATTTAGAGACGAGCAAAGTTTAAGACCAATGTTAGAAAACAATTTGCACTTGGGGTACACATATTTTTTTTCATTTCTATTGTTGAATAATTTTGATGTGCAAAATGGTGTAGGACCTTTTAAACGGTCAATGTGCAAGCGATGTATAACCCAAAAATCGAACGATGCGCAAATGTCTTACAAAACGATAACCAGCGATAGCTGATATAGGTATAATATGAAATAGTACAATTTTGACGAAAATGAATATTTTAACGAAAAACTAAAATTTTAGTAATTCAAAATATATACTCATGGGAGCTTGAAACTTTCTATTACGCGTAATTTTATTACAAATATTTATTTAGCATAATGAAATTTTCAAAATAATATGTAGATTTATTTTAAACTAATTTTATAACGAACTAATGAAATATCATTCTACGATAGATTGTTATTATTTATTTATAAGTTATATGTTGATAACATATTGTAATAATATGTATTATCATTATTTTATTTTTACATAATAGTTTGAATTTGACAAAAATTGATTCATTCCACTAATTTTTTTATAGTGAAAAACAAGTTACTTATAGTAATATACATTTCATAGGTATAATAAAATATATTTAGAAATATAGGCTGTCTCAGCTTAGAATCATTTTTCGCGTACAATAATTTATCATTAGATTCAAATAAAACATATCCTTTATAAAATTGACATAATATATTATAACAGAAACTTGACTGTTTTTTATATTTATAAATTCCATTTTGGATTTGTGTATTTCCATTTACGTTAATAAACCCCACTATAAAGCTATTTGAATACAAAAGAAAGTTTTTATAATATAATTAAAAAAATAGATCAACAATTGAAATAACTTTTATTATTTTAAATTTTAAAACATTTATTGTTTATATAAATAAAAAACTTTTAAATTAATATTACGAGTATTATGTGCGTAAAGAACTTAAATTTATCCAACTATAAAACGAATTTTATACCTAATGTATTTAGGGTTGTTAAGACGTCAAATATTATAAAAACATTTTTCTTAATATTTTAACAACTTTACGCCAGGAATAATAATAAAATTTGAATTAAAAGTTATTGTATGTCTTATTTTATAAATATTCCGAAATAAAATTGAATACTTTTACATTTTTTACGTTTAAATCTATTTATTTATGCTTAAACTTTTGAAATTAAATATACGTTTTATACTATATACTCGTATATAAGGTATACTTCGTAATTTCAAACGGTTTTATATTAAAATGCCTAATTAGAAATAAATAATATTGATTTTTAATATTTCATTATAATCTTTATTGATTACTTACCGACAAATTTTAATATAAGAATGTGTAAAGTGCTTGTTTTAAATAGCACTTATTATTTTGAAAAGTATTAACATCTGTCGACGTTTATCGAATGGAAAAAGTATCATACAATATTAATTGTATTTTTTTTATTTTTTTTTATTTACTTTTTTTATTGGTCTTGAGACTGACAACTATGTCCATCATTAACTATTGTAGGGATTACGGTAGGGTTTAGTACGATTGGTACGGGCATTTACCATTTCCGCCATAATTTGAAGTGACCGTTTCCGCCAATCTACCTACTATATATAATTTACTATATATTTATATTAATATTCTGTATTAGTTGTAGTATTATTCCTATTATTTTTAAAGTATACTTAAGTTTTGGCTTGAAATAATTGCACATGGCTTATATAATAACATTAAATATTGAAAAATAAATTTATAACTAATAATAATAAAGTAAAAGTCGCTTATTCATAAATAGGTATACTGCAGTAGGTTTATGGAGTACAAAATGTTCTTATCATTACTGTAGTTTCAATCTTATCGATTTATGTACGATGGTTCCATGTTTAAGTTATATACTCGTATATATATATATTATATTATACAATATGTATAAAACACCTAATATTTACATTGTATGCATGTGTTCATTTAAAATTGACACTATCATAGATTAATGTGTACAACTATCGAATATCGCTCGTAAGTATCTAATATTGTCTTATGTACTACCGCATCGTGTGTACGTGATTTAAGTGAACTCAAATTAATTAAAACATTCTTACGATCCACGATGAACCAAAACACATAGGATTTATGAACTATGAAGATCTTCCTTTTTTACCAAAAATATGGAATTTATTATAATAATTATTCCATAGTAGGCAGATTAGCGGAAACGGGAATCGAACGTTTTTTAAGTTGGCGAAAACGGGCTATGGCGGAATAGGTCATTTCAAATTTAGGTGAAACCGGGTAATCCCCGTCGGTATGGTGAGTTGACAGCACTTGTATACTTGCCTCGTATGTGGCAAGGTTTTTGCCACTATAAGAACTCAGGTGGTCACCAATCCATGAACTAGTGGCAGTGAGCAGACTGTACTCTCAATCACGTTGCGTTAGAGATTGTAGCAATAACCACGCCACGTCAAGCCTCTACACAATATTGTATTATTCTAAAATTACAAAATAATAGTTAATACTCATATTAAATATTTGTAATTCAGGGGACAAAGGCGATAGAGGAGATGTCGGGCAACGAGGAAACGAAGGCATTCAAGGCCCTAAAGGTAAATATACAAGTTTTATCATGGCATGCATAATAAAGTTTGCATTATTCCGATCCCTTCATAGTAAGCGAATATTTCATAATTTTAGTTTCTGTTTTTTTATTACTCACAGGTGAACCTGGAATCGACGGAGAACGCGGCTTGCAAGGACCTCCGGGTCCACCAGGTCCTCCTGGGGGATCAGATTTTTCAAATAATGATGTGAGTGTATGAAATTAATAAAAAATATATTAAATAACAAATGCAGGGCACCTAAATAGTTTTCTCAATTCGTTATTTCCCTCATTTTGATAATCAAAAATATAATACTGTATTTAACACTTTTAGCCAAGTTGGAAACCAAGACCGATTTACAAGGTAAATTATTGATTGTTTTCATTTATTTGTATGTAGTTTAATATTTGAATAAAAAAATTTATCTTATTTTATTTTGGTAATTACTGCTACCATTATTTGAACTTTTGATTTAGATTTGGTTTACAATTTTATTTTAAAAAATAAAAATAAATAATATTATTTATATCATTTTCAGGACATTGGATTTGAGTCAAACGTCGGGAGGCCCGGTCCCCCGGGTCCTAAAGGCGATCCGGGTGTTGACGGCGCTCCGGGCTTAAAAGGTATTTCAAACAGTATTACTATTTTGATAACCTATGATTAGAATCTCTTTAAATAAACCCCACGTATTTATTTAAAAATTTAAATAACGGATTATATATTTTATTTTATTTTTATTTTAGTAATAAATTAGTGACTTCATACTTTTATAGATTACTCACGTGAAATATCATATTGTAATCTTATAAACAATACATTTTTGATTTAAGTTGAAAACTTTTTTTGGGCTTACCACCCGAAAATTATTAAAATTTTATAATGTGTAGAGTACCTACTTAAACGAGATAGTTAAACTATTGGACATTGGGGAAAATTTAGTGAAGTTTTAAATACAAAACAATTTATTAATTTTCGAGATTTGAATACGAACTAAATATAAAAACAAAACTTTATCATTTTGTAACATTATCTAATAATGAGTAACATTTGCTTAAAATTATAATTCAATGAATTTATTTTGAAACTGTACAGGTGCAAAAGGAGTTCAAGGAAATAAAGGCGTTCGCGGGGAGCTTGGAAGCAAAGGAGTCAAAGGCGACAAGGTAATATTTTATTTACACTTTTAAATTAATAATAAATACTATAACTTATATGTATAATAAAGTATGTATAAATAATCGATTGGTGATGCATTTGAAATTATTAAAGCACAACTTTAAAACAGCTTATTTTAAAGGAATCGAAAGTGTACGTAGGTACATTCTTTGTGAGTAATATATTCCAAGAGGGCAAACTTGTTTGCCCTGAGGCGTGAAACTTTTAAATGTGCGACGGTATTGAGCTTACACACACTATTTAATAGAACAATAAACCCCAAGTCTCACAATAATGATGCAAATTGACAACTAGAGAGACAGATGTGTCAGCCGTACAAAATATAAACAAAACATTCTGAAATGTGCAGTTGGACAGGTTGTGTGATTGGATTAAAAATTTAAAACCCTTCGATAGTAACAGTTATATTATGATTGTATTAAACCACCTAAATAAGGTTAAATTATTCAGTATAGAATTCACTTAACAACGGTGGATTTATGAATTCTCACCACTGTAACTGTAGTCGATTTATTACTTTCATCTCTTTAAATATTTAGTACGTTCATTGAAAAATAATATACTTAATGCCACCGCTTTTTGTTTTGATCATCACCACTGTGTTTTTATATTTTATTTTGACTTTTATTAAACCATGTATTTTATCCGATTTAAAGCTAAACCAGATCCGTTGCTAATTTTTAGACAAAAATAATGCAGGCAAGCCATTGTCAAGACCAAACCTTCTAGAAACTTACAAATTACGTCTCGCGTCGGATTACAATTAAAACGAAACTTTATAACATTCACTATTTCAATGATATATAAATATAAAATATAAATTACTCATCCGCATACTTATTCCGTTCAACATGCAGCTTTAAGCATTTATTTCGAGTTTAAGCGATGATGATATCTTACACCGTTTGAATATTATATATAATGTTGTATTAAAACATATATTTTATAGTTTATATAATTAATATATTTTAAGCGTGGTAATAATCGTTAAATAATAGGTATTATATATCATATGTTCTAATTCTAATAAACTTAACCGTGTGTCTTAGGTACAAATGTTTTCATGGATAAACTTTACTATAGAAATGGTAATTCGCTTACGATTTTTGAGGTCAACACTCKCCAATATAGCTAATAAAACTATTGATGACGATTATTATGTTAATAATTTATTGCTATAATAATTAATATTATGTGTAGATAATACAACTACAACTACAGCCTAGTTAGTGTACTAATGTGTATACGCCAACAAAATATGTCCATTGTATGGCATATCTGGATTTTGACAATTTTGTCAGACAATAATATTTTTTTAATTTTTAATTTTTTTTTTTAATGTGTTTCTGACAAACAAGGCCATCGAACTTATTGATATAATAAAAAAATTTTAACATCATGAAGTTGTTAAGCGTAAATTAATAACAATATATACAGTAAATTACAAAGATGAATAAATAAATAATAAAATATGACATYCAGACAATAATATACTCCATAATAATTGTATGTAAAAATGTTAAATTCTAATCCAATACCTGTCATTTTATCATATATTATTTTCAATCACACCAAATATATCCATTTATGATAGTTTCAAGTCAAGTTCTACCTACAGCAATAATATTGTAATACCTATGTATAATATAATATAAATAATATGCACTTTGACAAATCCATTTAGGCTCAAATGATATAATGATGTCAAAAATAGTTTTTTTTTTTAATATAAGTATTTAACAATATATACAATAATAAAAAATTCAAAATACAATAATAGATTAGCAATAATATATTTTATTCTAAATAATGAATATTAATAATTTTTTGAAAAAAACACAATATATAAAATGAAATATAATATGTTGGATAACCTAATGTTGTTGAAGCCGATGAAACTTGAAAAAAAAATGCAAAAAAATTTTTTGCCGAAACCAGGGATCGAACCAGGGACCTTTAGATCTTCAGTCTAACGCTCTCCCAACTGAGCTATTTCGGCAGATGAAATGATTATGATTTTTACACTTATTTAAGTAAAACTCAATTTTCAACTATAATGAAATTGTTTCTATCAAACACCTCCAAATAGCAAAATAAATTATAATGGCCGAGAAAGTCGAGAATGTTAGATATTTATAAAAAAAAAAAAATTAGCTGTGTAATGTCCTCTTAAATTATTACTTACCATTAGACCATTAGTTATTAAGTTTTAGATTCTTTATTAGGGATCTTCTCAAAATATTGTAAAATATTTAATTGTATTAATAACCCTACGTCCCTACACATTATTGAGTACGACTAGTACGAGTAGTACGACATGTATAAATGGTACCTAAAATCCACTAACTCAGAGTCAGTGAATGACATTGGAAGGGGGATTTAAATGTGTAAAGAAATATTGTACTCACCTCTCTAAATATTTACATTTCTTATTGATAAGGATATAATTCGAAAGGATATATAAGGTCTTATTCAATGAACTCCTTACCTTAAGGCTTAAATCAAGCTATGCTAGTACATTTTATGCATTAAAACTTAATACCTACATTATGTTATTAATATTAGGCACTTGTTATGTTGATTGGTTTTTGTATATGTTTTACCAGTTTACCTATAACCTATACCAGCACATAGAATTATTCATTTGTGAATATTTACTTTTAATTAAAATTAATATACATGTATATATTATTTTGGTTACTTAAGTTTTAATATAACTACAAACTAATAGTACTAACTATACTAAGACACTTAATCTTTATTAATTAATACATTTTTCTTAGTAGGTAGGTACATTTTCCACTCTGTGAATTATGAACTATTATTTTATTTATTATTATAGGTCTAACCTTTATTATTTGTACCTACAACCTAGTCGTATATAATAAGCTAGGTATAAATGTATAATTAATTAACAAGCGTTTTACGTTTGTAATGATTTTTATTTCTTATTCGTACCTAGTTTAAATGGTACCTTCTTTTGGGTGATCACACATATTCCCGTATGTAATTTTAGAGTAGAGACGATCTCTAAATATATGCGTCATCACTTGTATATGTATTATGCTTTCAGACAATTCACGACAAAATAGGTGTAACCTATATCATGGATATTATATGTTACTGCAATTTTTTTCGGAAAATTACTATAACATTAAATATTTTAAGAATTTTCATCAATAATTATTTGATTTTGTTTATTAATTGATTATACAGGGTAATGTTGGACCTACTGGACCACAAGGTTTTAAAGGTAAATAAGTTAATACATTTATTTTCTTAAACGATTTCCATGTATTTCAAAAATAATGAATTTCATTGACCTAAATATTAAAGCTTAATATATAAGAACATACCTACCTAACGGAAAATACTTGATTTTCACAAAATATAAACGCACTCTACAGCAAACAATGTGGACACTGTGAATAATATTGTTATTATGAAATATTCGACCTACGACTTTAAACCTACATAACTTTTATTAGAAATATCCCATAATCATTATATATTTATAACGTTTAAAATCCATTTACCGACTATAAAAAATATAATTTAAAAAAATAAACTTTAATGCCATTTAAACATTCAATAAASTTTCTCTTTATCCTGACATTTTATTTTTCATTCGATTTAACACAATATAATAAATACTTTTTAAACGTATTTTTTGTCATTCTGTCTAAAATTGTATATATAGCTTCTTAAGCTATAAGTCATAATCAAAGCTTCTAAATAAGGCCTATGGTAATCTTATCAAATAATTTAATTGCGATTGGAAGTTTTGTAAATGTATTTCTTTAAATTCTTACAWAATTTATTTTGATAGTTGGTGCACTTCCAATTAATTATTAATYAAATTTTGTTCACCGGAAATATCAAAATTCTACACATTCAAAATCAAACATTATATGAATCATATATTATTTATTATTATATGTACCAGGTACCTACATGGCTACATGTTATAATATATGTTTACTGTATACACATTTAAACCTAATTTTAATTTATTACTTATAAGTTATTAAGTGTTATAAATATTTGACTAATGCATATTGTAGGGGAACGAGGAATACGTGGATTTGACGGAACTCCAGGAATGCCAGGAGAAAATTCTCGCCCAGCGCCCAAAGGCGAAAAAGGTAAACTTCGTAAAATATGTGTACAGCGTAGGTTCAGTATCTATTTATTAAATCGTTTAAGAAAAAAGAAACGTTTAATTTTAATAATAAATGTGCCTATTACACAWTTTACATTTTTAATGATTGGACATCCCAACCTCATGGAATCTGCGTCCATGTGTATAATATATAAACTCTAAGTAACTACAGTATATTGGTATCTAGCATTTTATGATTTATATTTTTAAAATGTCTATCTACTATAAGAACCAAAGCAATACTCGTTATATTTTCTGAATTAAGAAATAAYGAATCAAAAACTTTTAAAAAAGTAGGTACCTATCTAAAATATAATTATATGATATTGTTGTTTTAGGCGACCCTGGGTCACCTGGACCACCCGGTCCACCAGGACCAGCGCTGTCAGGGGTGAAAATTGATAAAAGTAAGCATGAACTATAGCTATTAAAGATTTTATGAAAATGTATCAATATTGTAGATACCGTATTAATAGTATATAAACTATAAAGCGTTGTAGCTTACTGCAATAATACCACTTATTCATTCATCCAATCGATTGATATTGTGCCTTTTGTGCTTACCTAATACTATTTTCGTCATCGATGTGTGTCCAAAAACAATTTCTCAACAGCATCTCTTAAACTATAACCAACAGCAAATATCTAGTGCTACATAAATAAAAGACTATCTATAYATACCTTCTGATCAACAGATTTTAACTTATGATTATCTAATAAACAAAAATAAAAATGATTGGAGCTTACAATGATTTTATTACTCGCAGATTAAAAGCTTTCATACTTTTTGTAAATAAAATTGACATTTGTCATTTAGATATGAAAATGTATGTAGCCACTAAAGTATTTATTAAACWCGATACAAACTTAAACGTAAGCAAATTATATCTTAATAAAGAGTGATGTAGATTTACCCTTGTTCATATATATGTTTCTTATAATGTTTACAACCTAATTCAATAATATTTCATTAAATTAGCGGATACAGCAGTTGTGAAAACAGTGAAAGGTGATAAAGGCTCAAAAGGAGATCGTGGGGAAAAAGGAGCAGTTGGTAATTTGGGCCCCGGAGGAAACCCTGTAAGTATAATTTATAATATATTCTTTATTTGAACTAAAATKCACACATTACAAAAATAAAGGRTACTTGATAAGTTTATTTTAGTTATTAAATCATGATAAAAGTGGAAACATTTCTCCATTACATAGAATTATTCGAGAAAATAATTTCAAAATTTCTAGTCTCAATTATGAAATATAATAATTATACACGCAGTACTTATGTACCATACAGTTGTACCTATGTGATGTATATGGCATAAATACATAATAATATATACTTAACATATTTTTATTAACTATTCATCATATATCATACTTATTCAATTCATAAGTAATGGATAATAAGTCCTACTTACAAAATAAATATGAAAGCTAAAAATGAATTAACCTATGATAATWACGTCTACTTACTGTAAAGTTGTACAGTGTATGTGTATCGGTATTTTTTACAATGTTAGGTATATTTAATTTTCATAAAAATAATATATTTTTCTTTTTTGAAGGGGTGTAAAATTATGATTGTATTTTATTTACCTAAATATGCAAATAAAATAAATTATTTATGTTACAATGTGTTACCTGTGGTTTTAGKGTCCACCTGGTTTGACGGGTCCCAAAGGTGAACGAGGAGAGCCCGGTTTACCAGCACCCGTATCATCTACGACCAACCTAGGAATGAACATCAAAGGAGATAAAGGTAGGAATGGATACAAGGATTCGCTTATACTATAATTCCAACTAAAAAGTAGAAGCTAAGGTTATCTTTAAAACGCAGTCTATTTTAGACTAATTTCTGTGAAAAATAGTTTAGTGCTATACTATATTGACGATATTATTGTTGATTAAGTATAGATATTATCTATCTAGCTTTCTTTTTCAGCCACAATGATCATTCTTATAGCAGTTTTGCAACATGTATGCACAACATGTTCATTATTGAAAAATACGTGAAAAAAAAATAGTGTAAACAAATTAACTATAACTTTACATATTATTATTTATTATATTACCTAGATATTATTATTGGTAGTTACAAATAAAATGTATATCAAAAAATATCATTTTTTTTTTACCCATGACACTTTAAAAGGCCAAATTGTATTTTTTTATTCTTTTTTTAATTTAATATTTTAACTATCTAAGTCAACATGTTTTTAAGTAAAAATTAATTTAGGTATAATAACACAGTGTAAAATACATTATGTTATTACTGACATTTCAATTATAACGTATATTTTAATATTCTGTGTATTTAGGTGAAATGGGAAGACGAGGTAGACGCGGAAAACCAGGTAAAACCATATCATTAAGTTTGTGTTTAATTAACTCCCGGGTTTTAACTTAAAAACGCCATGTAAAATGATTTTTTTTTTTAAATTATTTAAATAATAAAACTATTATTGGTTTATAGGTCCTATTGGTCCACCAGGTCCACCCGGAGAGATTGGTTTACCTGGTTTACGAGTAAGTTAAAAAAATAATATATTTATAGATATATTTTATAACTATGCATTTAACGAATAACTAATTATGTATGATGTTATTAATACGCTAATCAAAAATTAAGGAAGACGTAAGTTGTATTGTTTAAATAACATTAAATATGTTAACAAAAAACCAATTACTATCAAAAAATTCGTGTTATTTATTTAGTTTGAAGCATAACGATAAGTTGATATTTTGTTTATTTTTCGATTATTTACGATATTATTTTAATCTGTTTTCAATTAAAACAGCTTAAAATATTTATTTGTATAAATAATATGATATCATGATTTCACAATTGTGTGTCTTAGGGTTCGCCAGGCAAAGCGGGAGGTGTTAAAGGGGACAAAGGTGATCCGGGAGAATCTGTGGTGAGTAAAATGTTATTAAAATATTTATATTAATACTTTCATAATTTTAAACGTTCAAAATATAATGATTGTGACTATAGAAAGGGGAAAAAGGAGAACCGGGAAAAKATGGATTACCAGGTTCGGGAGGAACATACGTGCCTGTACCAGGTCCACCAGGTCCACCAGTAAGTATTATTTTTTTTTGTGCTTTATTATTTGTGTTCAAATTATCAGTAAATATTAACAAATGATATTCATTTCATCAGGGAATTCCAGGTGTTGCAATCGAAGGGCAAAAGGGTGAACCTGGTGATCCAGGATTTTCATCATCGCCTCTCCGAAGTAATACTAACAGGCTATAAGATTTTTCTATTGGTTGTCTTTACCATAAGTATTGTTAATTTTTTATATTAATTTTCAGGTGAAATAAACGAACCCATAATTGTACCAGGCGCAATGACGTTCCCGAACAAGAAATCAATGATAAACGTAAATATGAAATACATATATAATATATATATAAATAAATCAACTATAGAGCTACAATTCATTATACTTCACTGATAATTGTGCACGTATTGTTTCAAAATAATTGAATTGTTTATATTACTTAGTTGACAGATAGAACTCAGATGGGTACCATTGCATTCATCATCGAAGAGGAAGCTCTTTTAGTCCGTGTCACCCGTGGCTGGCAGTACATTTCCGTAAGTCATATTATAAAGATGTGGCTTTAATTTAATCATATCGGCCATTAATGTTTGTCTGGTACAGCTTGGTTCATTGGTCACAACTGGAATGGATCCGGTCCCGACGAACATTCCGTTGCCGACTAGAGTACCATTAGAATCATCGAATTTAGTACATAACCATCCAATAAAAGATAACACAATGGTAAGACACACGTTTATTTTCAAGTTTTCAGCTGTTGATAAAATCAAAATATATTAATTTTTAAGTATCTACTTAGTTACATATAATTATAATACCATTTGAATTTTTTTTCTATTTCTTCATAATATGTAATAATATGGTAGTTAAGATACGAAAGCTGTCAAACCTAGCTTTAACTATACAGATACCTACTATAATTTTCACAACCCTCTTTTGTCAAAACTGATTTTGACAAGTGAAAACTAGAATTAATCTTCAATATTAGAACTAGTTGTGTCTGAAATATAATGGTAAAAATTAGAACTATCTAATGTAAACTGATTTTCAGAAGTAATTTTTGTATTGGTATTAATAAAATAACTATTTTAAACTAAAGAAAACATGCGACAAGTATAATATAATATAACATCATATATTGAGATAAGTCATAGAAATGTAATTTAAATGTTTGAAACAAATGATCGAACTTTATCATTGTTTCGGAAAGGAAAACTTTTATAGAATTTAGAGTTAGACAAAAGTTGATTTTTTTTTTGTACAAGCAGCGAAAAAATATGTTGCATAATATGATTTTTTGCAAGTGCACCCTACATATAATTTTGGTCCTGACCTCGTCAATKATTTTGTCATATAGTTGTGAGCTCATCGAAAGGAAATAGTATTATTTTGAACTGGTTTCGCTGAAATGAACACAACTGCGTAAGAAATAAACTCAGTCCTAAACCAATTTTTCTGATTATCACCTTACAACGTTACATTTTATTTTGTGAAATAGAGGATGATAAAGAACACACACGTCTTGCAATAATTTTTGTCTAGAATAAATTCTGTCTTTAATTCTAATTCTGCATCGTTC